TTTTTTTTTTTTTTTTAATAGTTACTTAGGTGTTCTGGCAGTATAGTGGATAAGGCATTTAGCTGCTAACCAGAAGGTCAGCAGTTGAAAACCCACCAGCTGCTCTGCAGAAGGAAGATGGGGCAGTCTACTTAATTGACTTGATGGTAGTGTGGTAGTGAAGCTGAGTAGAATCAAAATCAAGCCTGCATCCTCTGTTGGAGGCAGATAAGCAAACATGATAACTCAGTTCCTTAAGAACTGAATAGAATGAAAGCTCAACTGTCACCCCCACCCCATGAATCAAAGCCCAGTCCACATCCTCTTTGTTACCTCCATTGGAGGCAGATAAATAAACATGATAACTCAGTTCCTTAAGAACTGAATAGAATGAAAGGTCAATTCATACACCCTCTCCAAGTTTTCCCCCTAGAAATAGGTGATTAAATATGTTAATGTGTGTTTCAGGAAACAACTTGAAAATTAACTGTGGCCCTCCTACACGGGCAGTGAGACAAAAGGGGAACAAAGTTGCTGGGAACTGACATTCTCCCCTCTGCCCAGTCCCCATCAGCTGATGACAGAATGCTGATGTGACTCATCTGGTGCATTAAAAATCAACTGTTCCTTTAAACCGAGGTGGAGGAAGCCTCAGCCAATCCCGTTAATTAGCGCCCAAACTCCTGAATTTTTTATGAATATGTATTATCCTCTTCTCCTGAAACTTACAAAACTGTATCCCGACCTCCAGGGACTCAGATTTGGGTACTGGCCCCTGTCTTCTTGCATTGCTGCTTTGCAATAAATAATTTTCTCTCCTCTTAATCACTTGGTGTGATTAAAGTGCTTTGGCCTGATTGTACACCGGGCAGGGATCCAGAGTTGGTCCTACTTTAATGAGTTTGGTTTTGGTTTTATAGTCACTTAAGGAGCTCTGGTGGTGTAATTGGTAAAACAATTGGCTGCTAACGAGGAGGCCAAAGGTTCAAACCCACCAGCTGCTCTGTGGGCGGAAGAGGAGGAAATCTACTTCTATAAAGATTTACAGCCTTGGAAACCCAATGCGGGTTGCTATGAGTAACAATCAACTCCAGGGCAGTGGGTTTTTTTTTTTTTTTTTTTTTAAGTTACTTGAATTATAACTAGGTATAATCAATCCTCAAAAGTGCTTTTTTTTGTATTCTAAGTAAATTTATAATAAAGCATTGTATAGACATCAACTCTAAAAGTAATGTCCTAGATTTTAAGACTTTTATTCATTGTGATTAATGACCTATGTAAATATCATTTAAAAAAAACACACTTCAATGATTTAAAAGAGATTAACTTTCAGAGTATTATAAATACAAGTGAAAGCTCATCCAGAAAACTGAATGAGACTGTGCAGAGTCCATGATGAATTTTTATATGCTGAAGAGTGTGCAGATAAATTAAAAGATAAATAACATAAATAAAAAGAAAAAAAATGCACTCAAAGGTTGGGATTTAATAAAATCAGTACTGTTTATAATTTCATCAAGGATATTCTTAAGTGAAACAGACTTCTTTTTCTTTTTAATTGCAAGTGCATGGTACAGAAGACTATAGTAACAACTAGTACAGTTTGGTATCACTGCACTGTTTTGTGCTAAGACTCCAGAAGTTTTATTTACCACTGGCTTGGTACAAATTACAGCAGTAAAAAAGTCAAAAGTATTGTTATAAAAAGAGCTTTGCCTTTGCAGACTCCCCAAAAGAGTGCTGTGGACTCTTTCATGGGGCCGTGGACCACACTTTGAGAACTGCTGTGACAGTTAATTAGGATAAACTCTGAGAATACAAATACAATTAAGAAATGATCCCTGTTCTCAAGGACTTCATCTTCTAATAGGGGAAAGCCTATGGAGATAATTACAACATAACTTCAGTGTGACTCAGGAAGTGGCAGCATATGGGAGATAGATTATAAAGACAAGCCTGGAAGTAGACAAGTCAGTCTACTTGCAACAATGCAGGCAAAAGATGAGATCCTGACCTAAGATTATGGCAACAGGAATTCACGTGGTGAATTAATAGAATTCGATGACTGGAGTCCCTGGATAGTGCAAACTGTTAATTTGATCTGCTGCTAACTGAAAGACTGGAGGTTTGAATCCACTCAGAGGTACTTTGGAAGAAAGGCTTGGTGATCTATTTCCAAAAATCAGCCACTGAAAACCCTACGGAGCACACACCTTTACTCTGATACACATGGGGTCACCATAAGTGGAAATCAACTGACAACAACTAGTTTCTGGTGACTGAGTAGATGTGAGGTATAAAGGAGGGCAACAAGGCATGAGAGGAGCAGGTTGTCAGAGGGGTGGGAGCAGATCATTAGTTTAATTCTGGATTTACTGACTCAAGAGATGCACGTTGGATCTATAGGTAGAGGTGGCTAGTAGGCATTTTGATATTCCTGCTCATTCCCCAAGGGCCTTGGTTTCTCTCATTCCCTGCTGTATCCCCAGTGCTCCGCGCAGTACCTGGCTCTCACAGTTGGCTGAATAATCTTGTCAGAAATGGGTAAGAATGATCTTAAAGAAGGATTAAATCTGGTAGTCATCTCATCAGAGATCCTTCCTAGAAACCACAGGAGTGAATGAGGTTAAGATTGATTGTAACTGTGGGACTGAACTGCTGCTTAAAAATCTTTCAGGACTGCTAAGCCCAAAGAATACCAGAAAGAGGTTTACTTGTGTTTTATTGACTATGCAAAGGCATTTGATTGTGTGGATCATGACAAATTATGGATAACATTGAGAAGAATGGGAATCCCTGAGCACTTGATTGTACTCATGAGGAATCTGTACCTTGACCAGGAGGCTGTCGTTCGAACAGAACAAGGGGACACTACATGGTTTAAAATCAAGAAGGGAGTGCGTCAGGGTTGTATTCTTTCTCCACACTTATTCAATCTATATGCTGAGCAAATAATCCGAGAAGCTGGACTATATGAAGAAAAACGTGGTATCAGGATTGGAGGAAGAATCATTAACAACCTGAGATATGCAGACGATACAACTTTGCTTGCTGAAAGTGAGGATGACTTAAGGCACCTACTGATGAAGGTTGAAGAATACAGTCTGCAGTATGGATTACATCTCAACATAAAGAAAACAAAAATCCTCACAACTGGACCAATGAGCAGCATCACAATCAATGGAGAGAAGATTGAGGTTGTCAAGGAATTCACATTGCTTGGTTCTACAATCGATGCCAACGGAAGCAGCAGTCAGGACATTAGACATCGTGTAGCATTGGGAAAGTCAACTGCGAAGGAACTGTTTCAAGTGCTGAGGAGCAAGGATATCTCCTTGAGGACTAAGGTGCGCCTGACACAAGCCATGATATTTCCAATCACCTTGTATGCATGTGAGAGCTGGACAATGAATAGGGAAGACCGAAGAAGAGTTGATGCTTTTGAGTTGTGGTGCTGGCGAAGAATGCTGAAAGTACCATGGACTGCTAAAAGAACTAACAGATCTGTCCTGGAGGAAGTGCAGCCAGAATGCTCCTTGGAAGCAAGAATGGCCAGACTTCGTCTCACCTATTTTGGTCATGTTGTAAGAAGGGACCATTCCCTGGAGAAGGATGTCATGCTTGGTAGGGTGGAGGGTCGACGAAAGAGGGGGAGGCCTTCAACGAGATGGATTGATACAGTGGCTGCGATGATGGGCTCGAGTATAGCAGGGATTGTGGGGCTGGTGCGGGATGGGGCAGTGTTTCGTTCTGCTGTGCATGGGGTCGCTATGAGTCGTAAACGACTCCACGGCACTTAACAACAACAACAAGCCCAGAGAGCAAGTGGCGTTCTCGTTGAATGTTTCCTCACATAGCTCAAGAACTATTTTGGAACAGCTCTTTCTGTATAATGCAGCATACCTAACAAAGTTATCACCATATTTTAACGCTTGTCAAATTGATTTGAATTGGGATGGGGCTGACTCCATTGTTCCACCCCTCAGTGTGGAATGGCTTTCCACAATTCCAAGGTCCGAGGGCTTATTTACATCGGTCTCTGGGAGCCTGCTAGACGGAGCCCCGAAGCCGGCACAGGTGCAGTCAGTCACTCGTCAAGCCCTGGAGGGGGGCGGTGCTCACGCCATCAGCCTCGCTGACGCGACATAGGCCCAGATCACCTCAGATGCTCGCGGTGCAATCACAGCCTGTTCCGCCTCCACAGGGCGTCCCAATGCAAAACTCGCCTTGAGATCCCTCCGCCCGGTCCCTCCTGGCCCAGGGTGCTAGCCCCATCACTTAACGCACTCAGGCCTCAGGCGGCCAGCGTTTCTCAAGGGATGATTGCCTCATAAGCCTATGTTCTTTTTCATCTCGGTACCATCTGTGCCATAGGCGTAACCCACCTTCTCAGGTTCTCTCTCGCGGCGCAAGGATACCTTGGCGTTGTGATTGTTCATACAGACTGTGGCCAGCGGAAGACTCCGCCCCCTTTGTGACGCGCGGAGTGGCGCGCGAGGGAGTCGGGGGTGGGGCGGGACTGGGTTTAGAAGGAGACCTGGAGGCCGGGGCCGCCTCCTGACGCCCATCTTTCTCCTCTCTCGAATCTGAGGGGTGGAGGCGACCTCGGCCTCCAGCGGCTCCGACGGGCAGAAGCGGCGGCTGGAATGGCGTTGCTGGGCCTTCTGCAGGCGGGCGGGTCGGTGCTGGGGCAGGCAATGGAGCAGGTGACAGGCGGCAGCCTTCTGTCCATGCTGCTGATCGCCTGCACTTTTACCCTCAGTCTGTTCTACCTGCTCCGCCTGGCCGTCGGCCACCAGGTGCAGCTGCCGGCCGGGGCGGTACGTGTACCCTCAGGGGTCCGGGTGGGGGGCGCGGAGTTCAAGCCGGCCGAAGGGCTGGTGAGGGCAGCGACCACGACGCTGACTTGCATCCTGGCCGGGCTGTTTGGGCTCGGGCTGGCGGCCATGCTCCTGTCTCTGGCGCTGGTAGCGGCTGCGGCGCTGGCAGCTGCAACCGCGGTGGTTCTCGGCGGTGTCGTGGTGGCCAGCGCTCTGGGGGCTGTGATGGTGACCTTGGCAACTGCTCTGCTGCTGGCGGCGTTGGCGGCAGCAGCCACCATGTTCTTGCTGACTTTGGTGCTAGTGGCTATGCTCACGGCTACGATCTTGGTGGTAACCATGGCTGCGCTGGCCGCGTGCCTGGTCTTGGCCGGGATTGTGCTTGCCGCATTTGTGGTTGCGGTGATGGCTGTGTTGGCCGCGGCACTGGTTGCTATAGTGGCCGTGGTGGGACTGGCAGCCGTTGCCCTGGCTGTTGCACTGAGCGCCCTGGTGGCGGTGCTGGCCGCCGTCGTAGCGTTGGGGGCGCTGATAGGGGCTCTGATGGCGGTATTCTTAACAGCTGTGGTCCTGATGGCCGTCATCCTGGTGGCCGCCCTTGTGTGGTTCGGTGTCTTGTGGGCTGTGACATTGCCCCTGATGGCGATTTATATCAGTATTAAGGGGGATGTATTCAGTTTGGTGGAGTGGGAATGATGGGAAAGTTGTGGAACCCTTCAATGGTGCTATTAAAATACCAGTTTCTCTAACTTAATGTCTTTATTGACCATTGCCTTTATATTAAAAACAAAACAAACAAACAAAAAAACACAACTCACTGTCATCTAGTCCATTCTGACTCATAGTGACTGACCCTCATTGGGTTTCTGAGATTGTAAATCTTTATGGAAGTAGAGTGCCCCACCTTCCTTCCCTAGGGGATAATGGGCTTAAACCATCAACTTTCTGGTTAGCAGTCAAATGCCTTAGGCACTGCACCACCAGAGCTCCTATCTTTGTATCTCCCAAATATATTTGATGAATGCATCCTTCATCAGTCAGCTTTTTCAGAATACTCTTGCTGACAATGGATGGAATCTACAAACTTGACCAAGCAGTTCTTTAAATAATTTTTGTTTGAACCATAACAAGCATAAGGCAAAGTTATTCAAATCCTACACATGGAATTTTTGATGAAAATATTACTTTGTTTTTAGAAAGACAAAGGTACTTAACTGGTTTAAGATCATTACTGTCATCTGAAGAGTACTGTGAGTTTGTGGTGCTCCTTTTCATATGTCGTTGTTATGGGCCGTTGAGTTGACCCGACTCATAGTGACCCCTCCTTGGGTTGCCAAGGCAGTATCACTACAGAAGTAATTGCTCAACCTTCCTTCCAAGGGGTGGCTGGTGGATTTCAATTGCCAGCCTCTGGTTAGCAGTCAAGTGCCTTAGGCACTATGCTACCAGAGCTCCTTCCTTTTATATGAGACCACCAAAGGTCTGAGGAATACTATCCTTTTTCATCTTTGCAAGTTTGATTTCTAGGAGACTTACTGTTACAGTCTGCAAGTCTCATTTTGGGACTAAAATATTTTTTTATGGTGAGTACTGGAGAGTTCCTGTTAGAGCTAATCTGCACTGTTGTATCTCTTTAAAGTCAGAGGATCTTGTTCATTTACAGTGAGAAAAGCATGAAATGTCTTTGGTTTACAGTAAATGTAGCTTCTTAACATTTTCCCTTCTTTCTATACTTCAAATTACTGTTTCTTTTTGTTTATATCTCCTTTAGGCCAGATTTTGGGGCTAAAATTGTGAGTGATAGGAGAAAGCACTGGTGAAGAAACTATAGTTTGACATTCTTTCTTTTTTTTACTACTGATAAGTTGCATATAGCCTTCAATAGTATTGACATGTTCTGGACAGTGTCCAGCATCTAAAATTGCAAAGCCTTCATGTTTGTGTAGTCGCTTATCCTATACCTTGTTTTGAGTTGTTATTTTTACTATTGCTATCTCTCTTAAGATAATTTATTTGCAATTTGACTATCTAACTTTTGCTATTTTGTTTTTTTTGGTAACTTTCTTTAGTATTAATGGCAAATTCATTTAAAATATACTGAATTTTGCTCTTAAAATGTAATGAGAACTGTTTTTTTTTTTTTTATCTTGCAGAAAAGTCCACCATATATTTTCTCTCCAATTCCATTCCTTGGACATGCTGTAGCATTTGGGAAAAGTCCAATTGAATTCCTAGAAAATGCATATGAGAAGGTAAGTACTAATTTAGAGAAGTACGTTTCAAACTTATCTTTTAAATGTATCTTAGTTTCTTAGTGCTATTGTAGAAATTCTACAAGTGGATGACTTTAAAGAACAGAAGTATATTTTCTTAACAATTCTGGAGGTCCAGATCAGTCTCTCATGTGGATTCTTTCCTTGTCAGTAGCCCCAGATGTTCCTTTGTTCCTTGACAATCCTTACATAGCATCTGTGTCCCCCCGTCTGGGTGCATGTCTCTGTGTCTGTGCTGTTCTTATGTAACTCAGAAGTGTGTGTTTAGGATCCACCCTGTAGTGGTATGACCTCAACTGCCAGGTCTTTTTCATGTTATTGCTGAATGAGTTTGAACTGCCAATCTTTTGGCTAGCAGTCAAGCACAAACTGTTACGACTCTTAGAGACCCTCTTTAAACATTACACTTCACCAATAAAGACCATGTCATTAACCCAATGAACATGACCTCTCAGCTATATTCTTCACTGATGATCATTCCCTGCTTCTTAATTCCTACAGCTCTTGTCTTGTTTTTTTTTTTCCCCCTATTTCTTTGACTGCTTTTTCTCTAACTCATTTGTGGGCTTATATCTGGCCACTAAGTATTGGGGTTCTCTGAGGTTCAGTCCTAAGTCTTGCCATAGTTTCATCGTTTATTCTTTCCTAGGCAATCTTATCCATACTTAAGCTTCAGTTACTAGGTGACACCTGTCTTAGTTATCTATTGCTGCTATAACAGAAATAACACAAGTGGATGGCTTTAACGAACAGGAATTTATTTTTTCATAGCTTAAGAGGCTAGAAGTCCAAATTCAGAGAGCTGGCTGTGGGGAAAGGCTTTCTCTCTGTGTCACTGGATCCTAAGAGGATCCTAGTGAGGGACCCTGGGGCCCAAAGGATGCACTCTGTTCCCAGCTCTTCTTTCTTAGTAGTAGTAGGGCCTCCCTCTCTGCTTCTTTTTCCTTTTATCTCTTGTCGCAGGTCACAGCCCAGGAAACTCCCCTTATATCAGGTCAGGGCTGTGATGGGATTAAGGATACATGCATCCAAAGCCTTGCAACTGATCAATTTATCACTTCATGGGGGAATTATTACGTAACTGCCACATTACATCATTACTTAAATACCAAACCACTGAGAAACATGGCCCAGACAAGTTGATGTATATTTTTGGGAACATAATTCAATCCATGATAACACCCAAACTAATGTTTCTGGCTCAGGTCTTTTCTCTGTACTCCAGAGCTGGATATCCAGCTCCCACATGACTCTTTCTTTTTTATTGTGATTTGGGTAAAAATTTACAGAGCAAATTCACTTTCCATACAGCAGTTACATACACTTTGTCTCATGACATTGACTACAATTTACCACAATGCAACAGCTCCCCTCCCACTTTCTCCTGATAGTTACCTCTTTCCTGTGTCCATCCCTTCATGAACTCCTGCCCCCTGAGCTGTTTCTCTGTGCATAAACAACCCTTCTTTCTCCCATGATTGTTTTCTCCAAGGAGTGTATCTACCTCAGGTAAATGTTCAACTCATATGCCTGACTTTTGTTTGGCTGGAAGCTACAGGTGTGGGTTCAATTCCAGACCTGAAGGGCAGCTAGGGGCCATGGTCTCAGTGATTCCCCCAGGCTCTATCGGACCAGCAAACCTGGCCCTTTTTTTTTCTCCAAATGATTTTGAGTTTTGTTCCCCATTGTTCTCCCTCTCTATCCAGTATCTCCTACATTGATCCTCCTCTGAGTGGTTAACAGTGGTAGCTGGGTACCATCTAGTTCTTCTGGTCTCATAGCTGTATAGACTGAGGGTCACATGGTGTACCAGTCGCTAGGACTAATTCTTTCCTTAAATCTTTGGTTTTCTTCATTCTTCTTTGCTCTGGACGAGGTAAGACCCATTGTTGCAGCTAGATGGCTGCTTACAAACTTTTAAGATCCCAGTCGCTACTCACCAAAGTAGCAGGTGGAACAATGTTTTGTGTAGTATGTTATGCCAGTTGAACTTGATGTCCCCTGACACTATGGTTCCAAGCCCACAGGTTCAACTGCTTGGTCCCTCTGGGTAGTTGGCTGTGCCTAAGAAGTGACTACAACCTTGTCCCTTGTCAGCTCTGCTATACACCTGGGAATTCAGATCATACAAATACACATATAGGACCATTGTCTGCCAACCCTATACATGGTCTTGGGTACACACCCCACTTGATAGACATACCTCATAGTTCACCCTGTCTACCCATCTATCCAC